GACAGAGGCGTGGTCGTTGGCCTTGATGATGCGGTTGGTGGCGCTGCACTTGCGGGGCACGTAGCTGTTGAGAAGGAGGTCAAGTTAGTGGTCTGGGTTCTTCTCTGGGGGTTTGCGAGCGAATATGTTCCCCTCCAATACCCTGTGTCCTGGTTTTTCTGATGGCTCGCCAACGATCGCAATCACGCGCGCTGAGTATTTTTTTTTTCAATCCTCGCAATCTCTGGTCACACCTAGTCCATCTCTTTGGCTTGGGATTGAGGCGGGATTGCTGATTGTACGCGGCCACGCAGAAACAGGGTACAGGGTATATTGGGACTGGAGGAACGGGTGTAAAATCCATAGCACGTACAGATCGACGATCTCTCCCTTGTCGTTCTCCATTTTGGCGGGTTTGGTGTTGGGGTTTTGACGGGCGACGGTGAGGTTGGAGGTGGAGGGTTTTTCTGCCGCACATTAAATTGAAGACCTCAAATGATTTGTGTGGGTCATGTGACCCTTTATCGAGGGCTGGCGTGGCCGAAGTGGGGTCGCGTGGGTTTAACGGAAGCCGTACTAAAGGCCGTGGCAATTTCAACTCTTAATGCTCATAGTATCGATTGCGGGATATCTACCTACGGGGTACATATGGACTGATCGTACTATGGGTAAATATATGTATGTATCTATATATCTTACAGGTTACTCTTTTCCCTCTCTTTTTTCAACACGTCCTTTTTCCATCCAACAGCCACCTCTCGTGCACTTCCTTTTTTGAACCGCACAAGAACCACTCTCTCGGACTCTCCTCGCTTAGAAGACCCTTTCAGCTCATGCCCGGGTTCATTCAGACCCAACACAGATCGCCCATCACTGGTCATGAGAATAGATTTTGGGGATATGCACTTCTCTGTCCATGGAGGAGAGCCAGAATGAACGAACTCGACAAGCGCTTGACGACGCTTCTCCATTTCTTCCACGGAAGCATCTGCACGAGGCTCTCTGTCCAGGAATCCTGACACCAAATGTAAAAGAAGGAACTGCGGCGGGAATAGAATAATTTCAGCCTTTTGAGCACGACTAACCCATTCCGAGGCGGGAAGAAACTGTGCCTCCGTAACCTCGATTCCACCATCACTCGTTGGGATTTGATGCTCCTCGTGTTCGCCTTCTGCTGGGAGTTGGTCGAGGATTTTCTTATCCACGTTGACGGGTAAAGGTAAGAAATATAGATACATCTGAGTAGTGTATCGCTTAGGAATGTTGGTTGGCGTAACCCAGCGAGTAAAAGGGATTAATTGGCCTGTAGAGTCAGCGTGCTGCCCTCGGGTGTCAATGCGCAGAATGGGCACTTACCTATATCGGGCTCAGCATCAGCGCTTTGCTGCTTCAACCATTCATCAAAAGTGGTCTTGTTCTGATGAATGAGTCGTCTGCCGGCCTCTCGGGTAGGTTCGTCGACGGCAAGCATCTTCCCGGAGCTGCGGTCTTTAGCTAGAAGAATTCCACTCTCTTCAAAGAGTTCCCTGATCGCTGCACGTCGGTAACTTGGGGAATCTTCATGCCGTGCTAGATCTCCGGGTGGTGGGCATTCCCCATCTTGATTAGACAAGTTGCCACCAGGAAAGACATGTGCAGATGCAAAAGAGGTAGAGGTCTTCACGCGATGAAGAAGAAGGACCTCGTTCTTTGAAGATATAAGAAGAACGCTATATAATAGTTAGTACCCAATTCTTTTTTGGGGGAATGCCTGACATCGCGCCGTGAATATCTCCCTAGTCAATGTGTCATGTGGTCCCTTGCGCTTACCTAGAACTAGGCCGGGACACTGCGGGTTCACTATCACGTTTCGGGCTCGACATCTTCCGAGGATTTGAAGGAAGTGTAGTTGTGTATTGTCTCAAAGCAGGTTTACAGCTCGGGCGCAAGGGCTGGATCAAGGCAATATGAGATGCGCGAGATGTTTGAAAAGCAAGGCCAACAGCAAATTGAAGAACCAATCGCTGTGGTAGGTGACAAGAAAGAGATCCTTGACAGATAAAGGACATCTTAAATCTTAAAGCCTATGAACGGCTTCTCAATATAGTAAAAAAAGCAAAGAGTCGGGAGTTCCTCGGTACCCCGCATGAAGCTTGACCTCATGGAGCTTAACCGAATGCAACGCCATGTGCTCGGGCAACCTCCAGCACTTTTACAAAACCTCTACTTGATGTTTACGGTTGGAATAGATTGAGAGAAAAATAAAACGTGTTGGCTCATTACCAGAAATGGCGTAAAATCTTCAAATCGTAAAACTCCTATCCTGTACCCTTATTTTTAATTTTCAAGGCCCCATCATCCATCTGGGTGACCCCGATAATATATATTCACGAAGTCCAGTCAACTCTTAGAAGCTTGGATCTTACGAGTAAAGCTTCTTGTCGTAGCTGTGGAGACCGTGGACGTTACCCTCGGTCATAGCGCTAGCACTTCGCATCTCGAAACGCACAGTGCCCTTGTTGACACCGTCGTGCATATCGGTCAGGCTCTTGACACCAATATCCTGCAGGGAGTGCTGGACACCGGCGATGAGGTAAGGAATAAACTTGGTGACGGATCCGCGGTCAAGGACGGAGCCAGCGACACCCTGGGCAACAAGGACGCGGTCCTTCTCGGAGAAATAGCGAGCAGTACCAGCGTTGCTGGCCTTGCTGTCCTTTCCATCACCACCGGCCTTCTTGTCCTCCATGGCGGCAATACTGCCCATGCCACGGTAGGCCTTGACGAGCTGGCCCTCGTTGCTGACGAAGTACTCACCGGGAGACTCGGTGGTACCAGCAAGAAGACCACCCATCATGATGGTGCTAGCACCCATAGCGAGACCCTTGACGATGTGGCCGACGTTCTGGATACCACCATCGGCGATACAGGGAACACCGAAGCGAGCGGCAAATGTTGCAACGCTACGCACGGAAGCAGCCTGGGGACGACCAACAGCCATAACCTCCTGGGTGATACAGGCACTACCGCTGCCCATGCCAATTCTCAGGCCATCGACACCGGCGGCAATCAAAGCAGCAGCCTGTTCACGAGTGACAACGTTACCGCCGATAACGTCGACCTCGGGGATAGTCTTCTTAATGTACTTGATCATCTCGATCTGGTACATAGAGTTACCCTGGCTAGAGTCCAGGATAACAATGTCCAACCCAGCTTCCACAAGAAGCTGGAGGCGCTTCTTGTCCTCCTCGCGAGTACCAATAGCAGCGGCAGCGATCAGCTGCTTAGAGTCGGGGAGCTTGGAGGCAAGGGGGTAGTGGAGGTTCTTCATCAGATCAGAGCGGGAAAGCAGGGCGACGATGTTGCCGTTAGGATCGATAATAGGAAGCTTTCCCTTCTTGGACCGACGAAGGACTTCGTTGGCTTCGGCTAGGGTGGTGCCGGCCGGGGCAGTAACAAGATCCGTGGCCATAACGGCAGTCACGGGCTCGTCGAGACCAGTGTGGAACTGGATGTCACGCGAGGTAACCATTCCAACGAGCTTGGACTTGAGGGTTCCGTTCTCTATGTTCAAACATTAGCATCTGCTGTCGAAAGATCATGTGAGGGTAATATCCAAAAAGACAAATTGCTCAGATAAAATCTGGTTCTCTACAGTGCAACTTTCGTTGCTGCAGTGGAACGAAAGTTATAATTAAAAGAGGATGGTCATCATGCAAAGTGGATGGGCAGGTGATGGGAGAAGTAGATGTGGATATCTTACCAGTGACAGGGAAGCCACCGAAGCCCCACTTGGCCTTCAGCTCCTTGACCTCACCGACGGTGGCCTTGGGAGAGATGACAACGGGGTCCAGAATGAAACCATTCTCGTATCTCTTAACCTTACGGACCATCTCTGCCTGATCCTCGGGGGAGCAGTTGTGGTGGATAACACCCAGACCACCGAGCAGGGCCATGTGAATAGCCATGTTGTGCTCGGTGACAGTGTCCATGGGTGAGGACAGAAGGGGAGCCTTCAGGGAGATACGCTTGGTAACAGGGGTATCCAATGAGACATCGGAAGCGGGGAAGCCTATATGGGTTAGAAAAAAAAAGAATTTTCTATCTTGACTGCGGGGTCCAGCTTACCGATGTAACCAGGCAGAATCAGGAAATCATTGTAGGTCAATGCGCCGTGCTTGTCAGAGTCAAGCAGGGTATCGGCATCAAGACCATCGAGGGTGGTGTAGGTATCCAAGACCTCAACGGCCTTGGTGTAGTCGGCGATCTCAGCCTTCATGGCAGCACCAGGTGCAGCGTCGCCGGCGGTGATAGGCATGATGAAAAGAAGGTAGGTTTAAATTGAAGACTGAGACACGACCGAGTGAGATATTAATCAACAGAAAGAAACGTTCTGTTGATGGAGAAAGTCGAGCTTTCCCAAGGAAGAGAAGAAGAAGAAAAAGTTCGAGCGAAAAATTGTTTCCTTTTCTCTCCCGTGCACGGCCAAGCCAAGAAAAGGCTTGGCTATTTTGGGTATAGCGTACTGGCTTTTTTCACTGTTCGCGCTTCTGATTGGCTTGTAAACGAGATCCTTCAAGGCGGTAAGCTTTTTATGCTTATCATTATACATCGATGCAGGTACATACATCGGTACTATTATGTGGTGCCATGTAACGTCGTTGGGTATGATTATGATGTACAGTCCTCTTGTCAAGGTTATTTTTCCGATGAGCGGGACATGAATATCGATTGCCATACAATATATAAGACAGCTTTTGAAGGTGGAAGTGAAGGTCCAATGTGAGTTGGCTATAATTATCAGGGTGCCATTCTTGATATTTACATATGTATATAAAACCACATAACGGACCAAGATCCTTGTTTTATTGACATGGTTGGCCTTGCAACGGATCAGTAATCCCACTAGTTACCTACCGGCTTCAAGTCCCGTACAGTATGACGACAGAATGATAGTAGCAAATGCAAGCTATTAAAGGCAGCATGATTTGATTCAAATTGTCATCAAACATCAATTCTCACTTCTGACTTTTGCTATCGATATGGCTTCATCTCCTATGGGTGAACATGGCACCTTCAAACCTGCACCGGGACCACAGTCTCAGAACAAGCCGGGGTAAGTAATGTTTCACCCGAGCGAAATATATCCACTAAGATGATGTGCTAGATTGGAGAGCAAAATGATAAATCCCAGTGAGTCGACCAAACTGGAAGGCCTTCACGGCTTCTCGGAATATATGGGTTCCGGGAAATTGAAGGGCAAAAATGCTCTTATCACTGGCGGGGAGTATGTGCAGCAAGTTCGGGAACAAACTTATTTAGGCTAATCAATCCTTAGTTCTGGGATTGGAAGATCAGTTGCTATTCTGATGGCTAGAGAGGGCGCGGATATCACTATCGTTTATTTGCCCTCAGAACAGCTTGACGCAGAGACAACCAGAAAGTCTATTGAGCAAGAGAAGAGGAGTTGCCTTCTCATCCCAGCCGATTTGAGAGATCGCAAATTGTGCCAGCACGCAGTGGATGAACATGTGAAGAAGTCAGCCAGCATAAGGTTTTGTTCCTGGTATTAGCAAATGACTGACCCTGGGAGTCTACAGATACGGCACGGTCAATATACTTGTCAACAATGCGTCGGCACAGTACCTATGTACGGAATTTGAGAACACAGATCTGGATAAGACTGAAGACATCTTCAAAACCAATATCATCCAGATGATTGCGATGACGAAGTTTAGTCTTCCTCATATGGCACGAGGTGATTCGTGGGTGCTTTCTTCTCTAATCTATATCATCATATACTCACGCACTTGCTGCAGGATCATCAATACTTCTTCTATCGTGACTTTTCGTGGCTCGAAAACCATGATTGATTATGCCGCAACCAAGGGAGCTGTTATCGGTTTTACTAGGTCTTTAGCACAATCCTTGATTCCAAAGGGTATTCGGGTCAATGCAGTCGCGTGAGGATCATCCATAAATTCCTCTTTGAAATCACACACTGAAGCATTCCAAATTACAGTCCAGGTGCAATTTATACACCAATTCAAGTTGACACTCGAGATGCCCAACAGATGGAAGGATGGGGTGGCGGGGCTAGCATTGGACGACCAGGTGAGCCTAGTGAGGTTGCAACAAGCTTCGTCTTCTTGGCCAGTGCGGACGCCTCTCTATACTGTGAGTGATCAATATCTCACACCTTCAAATATTCATTATTCTTGTTATTGTGGCTAATATGGGGTAACTATACATGTATAGATGGGCAAGTGATGCATTGTTACCCGCTTGGTGACTAAATAGTGTAGGGGGTGGTGGAAATGTTGGAGCACTGTGCTGAGCATGTATTTGCCATTGGTATCAAATTTGAATTCAACGTGATATGAAGTCAGTACAGGAGCCACGGCTTCCCTGCAGTGAGAGCCTTGTCCCATCCCTCATCATTCTGCCAGATAGCGACGCTCTCGATCTCCCCTCTGCCCAGTTTTAGTCCATTGTAGAGATGCTAGGCTTTATTTCAGCGAATGTTAATTTCAGACCGACATATGCAGCTTACTGGGAAAAGTCCTTCACCGGGTCGAGGGGCAGACACTTTCCCGTCTGGGGACTCCCAGCGGATATCTTGGACCACGCGATGATACTCGATCCGCAATAAATAGACAAGTGGTTCCTCTGTGAAAAATGCTTTCAATGTGTTTCCCACCTGATGCGCCGTTGAGAGGTGGATGAAACCATCGGCCTCGTCCAGTTCGCTAACCGTGAGCCGCTCAGGGATTGGTTCGCGAACTGGTGCGGTGGAAGGCACAATCTTGTAGATGTAGCGAGGTTGAGAAATCAACGAAGCCATGATGAGATTTATGGAGGGAAGCAAGTTAATGCACCGCGTCTGTGGTGATGATGAGAAGAAATCAAAGTTAGTCAGGTGGTTTCATTTGTTGGCGGGGTCGGTTCAACCGGCAACTTGCCTTTCAAACGCGCTGGGATTATTGCGCCATTATTTGTACTTGTTTACTTATCTCTACTTGTTCAACACTAAAATGAATTTATAACATATGGAATTTTCAATGAGTAGTTATCTTCAATGCTGAGTGGATAGAAAAAGATTCAATCAAGACTTGCGGGGATATATCCTGTAGCATATCCTTGGAGAGGTTACAGTACTAAGCATGATATTTGTGAACGAGAAAAGCCCCAGAAAGAGGCAAGTCTCTCCCAAACTCAACCAAAGCTTGAAGGAACAGCAAGTACAAAGTACATAATTATGTATGTTGTATATTAATTGACGGTCTATATAGTTAACTTACTGGGTGACTTCCAAGGTTGAAAGCTGTGTTCGTCGCACGGGACTACCACTTTTGCCAAGACTGCAGACATCCTGATAAGTCAGATATTGGGATTTGAAGGAATGTTCGGCAGATCGATTGATTTTCTGTAAGGGACCTTTGCGATTTCGAATAATTGCAAAATAGAAGTAAGCAACAGATCTATGTCCACCTGGGCACATGTGGGACTCGTCACAATCTCTTAGTTCTGCATTTCACGTGATTCAAGATCGACAAGCCACAATCACCTGATTGCGCCATACCCGATCTGGAGATTTGTTGTGCCCCCTGCGCCCACTTTGGGGAATCTTGGTCGCACTTGCACCCCCACCGTCAACAATTCCATCATCGGGGATTCACGAGTCTAGAGCCCATTGACACAAGTCGCGCATCTATTGATTGGATTTTCTTCGCGTATAAGCCATGGGAGGTTGCCCTTGAACGCTACCCAATCCAGAACGTCTTTTCCAGAAGAAGTCTTGGAGACCTTTAACTCGCGCATTCCGCATTTACCACCAGAGCAGGGATGCGGTCAAAGGAGCGCGACATTTTTCAAACCATTTTTGCATACCGTCCTGAGATTAAATGATGTCGAATCAATTTCCATCCCTCAAGCGGGCCCAGACGGACCTTCCCTCACAGTCCACCAGTCCGTTACGAAACGGGTCGACAGCGTCCACCAACTCGTCTGCATATTCTGTCGCATCAAGCTCGTTTATTCCTAGCCGGACTAGCACTGTCTCCTCTAATGGGTCGGTATCAAACAAATTGGGTCACTTTCGAGGGAAGAGTGAGGCAGGCAGTATGAGCTCAGCAACGACTGTTACGGACGCAATGGAACGAGGAAGTTGGTCCAATGCAGGTACGACGTACGACAATATTCGCCGATCTCTACGACCACTACAACAAGTCCCTAATACTCCATCCTCAACTGCAAATACTGGCGGGTACCGACATTCACGAAGCCACACAATTGATGAATCACTCCCGCGGAAGGACTATCGACCAAGTACCCCAGAATCGCGTCATCTTAATCTCAAAGAGAATCAGGCTCCGCGTCACCAAACACACAGTCACGAATCTCAGAGCCCTCCAGCGCATATCTCTCCTCGTCACTGGTCTACTGTGCCCGAAACCTCGCATCCTTCGTCTCCCCAAAAGACAGTCTCTCATCCCCCACAGCTGACTGCTGCACTGTCCGCACCCGAGCTTGAAACCCTGCAGAAATCATCCACCGGCCATCTCAGAACTCTCTCGAGGTTTGCAAAGTCCGGTGAAAACGAATTTAGCGCAGCTGCAGCCTCCGTAGTAGGCTTGCAAGGCCGACGACGCCTCAAGCGAGCGGACTCGGTAGTAGGGAGAAATGGCGCAGTATCTCCCGAAAAGCCGAAGGCGTCCTCGTGGGCGGCCGGGAATTGGATGGACCAACAGCGACAATTCATCCAAGCATACGAGTATTTGTGCCATATCGGAGAAGCCAAACAGTGGATCGAAGATGTCATTCAAAAGCAAATCCCGCCAATCGTCCAGCTGGAGGAAGGGCTGCGAGACGGCGTCACTTTGGCGGAGGTGGTACAAGCAATGTATGCCGGCAAAGCACTTCGCATTTTCCGACACCCCAAGTTACAATATCGCCATTCAGACAACATAGCCTTGTTTTTCCGGTTCCTCGATGAGGTTCAATTGCCAGAGTTATTTCGATTTGAACTCATCGACTTGTACGAAAAGAAAAACATTCCCAAGGTCATACACTGCATCCACGCGTTGTCATGGTTGCTCTTCAAAAATGGCATGCTGGACTTCCGAATGGGTAACTTGGTTGGTCAGCTTGAGTTTGAACACCACGAACTCGAGAAAACCCAAAAAGGACTGGACAAGGCTGGCGTGAGCATGCCCAGCTTTGCAGGTATGGCTGAGAACTTTGGCGCGGAGCCTGAACCGGAACCCGTTGAATCAGAGGAGGATCGTATTGATCGAGAGATACACGAAAATGAAGCCTCGATCTGCGATTTCCAGGCTCAGGTTAGAGGAGCTATGATACGTTTACAGCTCGGCAACACGATGAACGATCTGTGGGACTTTGAGCCCCTTCTCATTGAGCTACAGTCACGTCTGCGTGGAGATTGGGCACGCCAAATTAGTGAATACCGGCTCAGCATGCTCCAGTTTGCAGTGGGGCTGCAGGCTATTAGCCGAGGCTTCATTGTACGTCGCAGTCAGCAAGGCGACGAGCAATGGCGAAAAGCCCAGGAAACAGATGTTCTGCACTTCCAGAGCTTGATTCGGGGATCTAGGGCTCGCGCCCAGACTAGTCACCTACAAACTCGCGCACGACAAGAAGAGTTTGGCATCAAGCAGATACAGGCCGCGATAAGAGGTACATTGCAACGCATGAATCTTGGGGACCAATACGAACAGTCTCGATATGCTGAAAATGATGTGAAAGCACTTCAAGCTTTGATCCGCGGTACCTTACAACGAAAGGAGATCAATGCTCGTTCCCAAGAGCTAAAACAAGCTGGCAGTTCCGTCAAGTCAGTTCAAGCAGCTATCCGTGGTGCCTTACAACGAAGAGAAATAAATGCCTTGTCCGAAGAGGCGAAGCAAGTTGGAAAGTCCATCAAGCCGCTTCAAGCTGCTATCCGTGGTACGTTGCAACGACGGCAGATGAATACCCTGTCCAAAGAGACGAAGCAGGTTGGCGGCTCGATCGAGTCGCTTCAAGCTGCCATTCGTGGCACGTTGCAACGACAACAGATGAATGCCTTGTCCCAAGAGGTGAAGCAAGTCGGCAGTTCTATCAAGTCGCTTCAAGCTGCCATCCGTGGTACATTGCAACGAAGACAGATGAACGCTCACTCCCATGAGGTAAAACTGACAGAAGCACCCGTCAAATCGCTTCAGGCTGTCATTCGAGGATCGATCACCCGCAACAACTTGTCTCAGATGAAGGTTCTGCTCAACAACGAAACGCCCCAAATTGTCTGCATTCAATCAACTCTCAGGGCTCTGATTGCCAGACAAGCACAAACTCTGCTGCTTCAGGCACTAGAGGAAACCGAAAATGAGTGTACTGCACTGCAAGCTATCGTGCGGGCCGCTGTCGTGAGGAAAAACACCTCAGCTATTCGCAACGAGCTTGCGGAACATCTATTGCCAGTGGTCGACCTGCAAGCTATTCTCAGGGGACAAGCTCTGAGAGAATTATTGGATACCCAGAGGACCGAATTGCTCGAAGAAGAACCTTCTATCTTGGAACTACAGTCCCGATGCCGTGGCGTCATTCACAGACAGTATCTACTCGCACAGCGGCATGAACTGGGCCAGGAGGAACATGCTATTGTTGAACTTCAAGCCCTTGCGCGTGCTGCTGTCTCACGAATGGAGGTTGGTGACATATTGTCTCACCTTGAGGACAACGAGGAAGAAGTTGTTCAACTCCAATCTTTAACTCGGGCAATGCTTGCGCGGGTTGAAGTTGGGGAGATCTTGACCGATCTTGAGGCAGAGGAGGACTTCGTCACGGACTTCCAAGCACGGATCAGAGGTCACATTATCTGCAACCGCTTTGAGGAAAGACGTCAACATTACAATGAAAACATGGAGAAGGTCATCAAGGCCCAAAGTGTTATCCGAGCCCGCATTCAAGGGCAGGCTTATAAAAGCCTGACAAGCGGAAAGAATCCACCTGTTGGAACGGTCAAGGGCTTCGTGCATCTTCTCAACGACAGCGATTTCGACTTTGACGAAGAGATAGAGTTCGAGCGCCTGCGAAAGGTGGTTGTTCAACAAGTGCGACAGAACGAGCTTGCTGAACAATACATCAGTCAACTCGATATCAAGATTGCCCTCCTTGTCAAGAATAAGATCACTCTGGATGAAGTCGTCAAGCACCAAAAGCACTTCGGTGGCCACATTGGCAACTTGCTATCCAACACCGAAATTTCTTCCAAGGACCCCTACGATCTCAAGGCCCTTAACAAGACCTCAAGGAGGAAGTTGGACCAGTATCAGGTGTTTTTCTTCCTTCTCCAAACCCAATCGCAGTACCTGGCTCGCTTGTTCCGGCGATTGCGTGAGGTCAACACCTCGGACAAGGAATATGAGCGGATCCGGCATTTGATGATGGGTCTCTTTGGATACTCCCAGAAACGGCGTGAGGAATATTATCTCATTAAACTCTTGGCACGATCCGCCAAGGAGGACATTGAAAGCTTCACATCTCTTGCTGAATATTTGCGCTGCACCTCTTTCTGGAACAAGCTTTTCGCTTCATATGCCAAGTCATCCCGCGATCGGAAGTTCATGCGCGACGTCTTGGGGGGTGTCGTGAAGGAGTCTGTTATCGACAACCCAGACCTTGATTTGGAGAGTGATCCAATTCAAATCTACCGTTCCGCAATCAACAACGAGGAGCTGCAAACCGGCCAACGAAGCCGCCGACACCCGGATCTTCCCAGAGAAGAAGCGATTAGAGACCCCGAAACCAGAGAAACGTTCATTCAACATTTGCAAGATCTTCGTGACATTGTCGATCAATTATTCTCAGGCTTTGAAGACTTCCTATACCGTATGCCATTCGGTATCAGATATCTTGCACAGCAGATGTATCAGAATCTACTAGAGAGATTCTCTGCCGAGGATCCAGGCTTAATTCTCCAGGCGGTTGGCCACTGGGTATGGAAAAGCTACTTCCAGCCTGCTGTGCTGGAGCCAGAGAAGTACGGTGTGATCGATCGGGGCCTCACCCAAGAACAAAAGCGAAATCTTGGCGAAATCTCTAAGGTCGTTGCTCAGATTGCATCCGGCAGACTATTTGGGGCAGATAATGTTTATCTTCAGCCGCTCAACAAGTACATCGGAGAGTCAATCCAGCGCCTAGGGAATATCTGGGGTCAGATGATCTCAGTCCAGGATGCAGAGTCTTATTTCGACATTGATGAATTCAACGACCTCTATGCTAAGGCCAAACCCACCCTGTACATTAAGATGTCTGACATCTTCTCGATTCACCAGCTTGTGGCCTCTGAGATTAACTATATGTGCCCCCACCCTGATGACTTCCTCAAGGAAGTTGTGCGAGAACTTGGCAATGTCAAGAGTAACGAGAACGAATTGATGGGCGTCAGCTCTACCGAGATCAATCTCACATTAAATCCCAAGTTGGCCCAGCTTGAAGGTAAGCAATTCAGCAAAGCCCCCGTTTGTTCATTTTTCTAACTCTACATCCCAGACCCCGAAGCCGATGTGAAGACGCTCTTTATGGAGACTAAGCGTTGCATCCTTTACATCATCCGAGTCCAAACAGGTTCCAACCTTATGGATGTTATGCTCAAGCCGCCGACAGCCGAAGACGATGAGCGATGGCACACTTTGGTTCGGGAAGAACTGAGCACGAACAACCCTCGCCGAGGCGCTTACTCGGAAGCCAACAGCTTAATTGACATTGGTACCATGAGCTATTCCGAGCTCAAGGGCATTGCACTCGAAAATATTCTTCGTCTTGAACAGACTGGCAAGATCAATCGTCACAATCATTATCAGGATTTGTTGAATGCAATTGCCACTGATATCCGCACCAAGCACCGTCGGAGAATTCAACGAGAGCGTGAACTCGAGGGTGCTCGGCTGACCTCCCAGAGGCTCAGCGGCCAAGCCGTCTACCTGGACCAGCAACTCAAGACATACAACGACTACATTGAGCAAGCCATGATCACGTTACAGAACAAGAAGGGAAAGAAGCGATTCCTGATGCCGTTCACCAAACAATGGGATCATCAACGAGAGCTGCAAAAATCCGGCAAGATATTCAAATTTGGATCCTACAAATACTCTGCGCGCACCCTGGCGGACCGAGGTGTTCTGGTCGCCTGGAAGGGCTACGCCGAGCGGCAGTGGGATCGGGTCGACTTGACCATTTCAAGTAACGAAGTTGGTGTGTTCACCATTGACGGGAGCAGCGGTGTCATGATGATTCCTGGCGCCAACGCACAGGTACCGCTGGACGACTTGCTGCAGGCTCAGTTCAACAACACGCAATTCATGGACTTTTTTGAGGGACAGATGCGAGTCAATGTCAACCTTTTCTTGCATTTGATCATGAAGAAGTTCTATAACGAGTGAGAGGCATGGCTTACGGACTTGATGAGGGATGAATTGGGTGCACATTCTTATTGATATTATTATTTGTCTGTTTTTTTTCTTCTTTCTTATTATTGTCTTTGTTTAAGATACCATGGGTATTTTGTTGATTTCGATAGCGATAGCATTCGGTCTATACGGGCGAATAACATGTACACAGTATGATACCATTCAGTATCAATTGTAAACCAATTCAATTTTCCAGAAGACCTCTTAAGTAGAAAGTAGACTTACGTAGAATAATCGTCTGTTGTATTCGAAGTATACAGGGCTTGGTCAGGGGTTGCCACGTGACGTGGCGCATTCAATCGGGTTGCCAGCTGGAAACCGGGCATCTTCCTCCCCTCCGACTGTCCACGTTAGTCCTGAGGGATTTTTGATTCTTCCTGTGCTTGGCTTCCAATTGCCTGTGCTGCTATTATATTTTCTCTCCGATCCTCGTTTCTCCATACTTCCCCTGACGACTAACAGTCACCCCTCACCATGGATTTCTCCAACCTCAAAGATCAAGTCAGCAACTTGTCCTTGTATGACCTCAAGGCCGGTGTTCGCAAGGTACAGAATGGTAAGTCTGAATCCCGATTGGTCCGAGGGCGTTATGAACAAGCCCGAATCAGCTTGCATGTGTCTTACAATTTGCGGAAACTGATTTGGCCGTTCCGTCATAGCTGTTATGAACTATACCGAGATGGAATCCAAGGTTCGTGTACAATCGCTCACCCCTGCGCGAAACAACATGGCCTTTCGCAGGGTGAAAGCGAAAAGATGGTGCGATCCAATGCTTACCCTAGTCAGGTCCGGGAAGCTACAAACAATGAACCCTGGGGAGCCTCGACCACGTTGATGCAGGATATCGCGAATGGAACGCATAGCTAGTCAGTCCATGTTATCTGTCATTACCCGCAATAATGCGCAAGCGCTGACCTTCTGTTATTACAGCCAATTACTCAATGAGATCATGCCCCTTATCTACAAGCGATTCACCGACAAGGCTGCGGAGGAATGGCGACAAATTTACAAGGTAAGAGAACCGTGGTTATTCATGCGGGTGTGCATTGACTAAACCTTTTTTCCTCCGAATATAGAGTCTTCAGCTCCTCGAATTCCTTGTCAAGAACGGTTCCGAACGAGTCGTCGATGATGCACGATCCCACATGTCGTTGATTCGGATGCTCCGGCAGTTTCACTATATCGACATAAACGGCAAGGATCAGGGTATCAATGTGCGCAACCGGTCGTCCGAGCTGGTGAAATTGCTGGGTGATGTGGATCAGATTCGGACTGAAAGAAAGAAGGCCAAGAACAACCGCAACAAGTTCAGTGGTTTCGAAGGTGGCATGGGTGCCGGGGCGGGCATGTCCAGCTCAGGTTCGGGCCGTTATGGAGGCTTTGGCAGCGATAGTATGGGGTACGGTGGATACAGTGGAGGTGTCTACGGTGACGGCGGCGGCTTTGGCGGAGAATCTGGCGGGCAAGCTGGCGTTGACTTCCAGGACAATGGACGCCGGTCCAACCGCTTCGACGAATATGACGAGTATGACGAGGGAGATGCCCCAGCGCGCCCACGTGAGTCTATCTCCCGGGCGAAGCCCCAAGCAAAGAAGCCCGAGCCAGCTCCTGCGCCTGTAGCAGACCTCTTCGACTTTGGCGACGACGAGCCTGTTACTACCACAGCTTCCACCTCGACTGGCAAGCAACCCGCTGGCAGTGCTCTGAATATACTAGACCCATCCCCAGTTGACGACGACGACTTCGACGACTTCCAGTCTGCAACTCCGGTTATCCAGTCATCAAGTCAGTTTGCCATTCCTCCTCCAGCTTCCACTGCCAGCACAACTTCAAACACCCAATTCGTTGCGCCTCAGCCAATTTCGGCCTCACAGGGTGCCAACATCAACGGCCTAGTTGGATTCACATCGGCCAGCCCCGCTCCCTCTTCCAGCGGATTCGCCACTCCCGTTTCGCAGATGGCCCCGATTCAACAGCAGAAGCCCTCCGGGTACCAAGCTCCCACACCCAACTACTTCACCTCCGTCAACGTGGCCCAATCTTCTGGATCCTCTCACGGTGCCACCTCCTCCATGTCCTCAGTGGCTTCACCCACAGCGAATAAGCCAGCTTCAGCAGCTGCCAAGAAGCCCTCGGGTGATGTTTTCGGTTCATTGTGGTCGACCGCCAGCGCCAGCGCTGGCATCCAGAAAACCAACACCGGCACAAACAAGGGCCCTAACCTTGCCAGCATGGCCAAGGAAAAGGCCAGCGCCGGCATCTGGGGCACCCCAGCACCCTCTAGCACGGCCTCCACGCCCAGCCAGCCCCAGCACAAGCAACAGTCTAGCTCGGCCTTTGATGATCTGCTTGGTTGATCAGCTAGCAAAGCAACTCGTCGCTCTTACCCACTGAGCCCATGCTCGCTTCTTAATTTTGCGATATGGAGTCATGATTTCAGCATTCATATTCCTGATTTGATTTGATCTTTGTTTTATTCTGCCTTCCTTCATTGTTTTTGTATACTCTATTCCATTCCCATTTCTTCTCTCCCCTAGTTGGTTCCCTACTTCCCTACCTAGCTAGCTATACGTACTTGATTTCCTCTGCGGGGTGGGGATATTCTATCTTAGCTGCCGCCGCTCTTATGAGGGCGCTCAGAGTCAGGCTCATCGAGTAAATTTGTGTCCGGAAGTCACGTGATTATTCAGTGAGATCTGATAAACGCTCACTAATCGCTTCTTAGAGTCATCTATGAAGCACCTACTTTCTGATGGCCCTTAATCTTCACTATGCTCCTCTTATTTCTTGGGGTGTATGATCTTCTTATTCCGCTCTCAAAAACAGCGCAAGCATGATGACGCAAGACTGGAAGGCACAGGGGTTTCTCCATTCCCTATCGCAACTTCATACATCATGGGCTTCGTCCTCGGTGAAACCGCATGCATTGCGGTATGTTCCAGATCACCCGACAGCTAATAATACATGAATGAAACTCATAAGGGGTGTGTAAAAGGTAGACAAAATAGCAAAGCTAGCGGCAAGTCTCACCGAAGATGCTATGGCATCCGACGATAATAGCTCAGAACTCCACATTCACACCAATCCCCATCCCTCAGCCACCAGATCATCAAGGACAGCACTATAAGCAAAGACCCCATCACTCAGATGGAAAAAGCCGGACACCCCACCTGATTCAACGTCAACGATTGGGGCGCCGCACACACCATCAGAGATAGCCCTATTAACATTCCCAAAAAAGAAATCCACCGATCTGGTATCCCATTCTTCAAATTTGATTCCGCGATGACCAGCTGGACGTTTCGGTTGCATGGTTTGGGTGCCAATATTCATCATGCTAAAGAGCCCTGAACTCATGCCGTCCACTTCACTCCATGAGCCTTGGGAGATTTGGGACATTTCTAGGAGGCGAGTAGGTGGTTCGGCTTGAAAGTAGCAGGAATTAGTGAAGCTAGATGAGGCAGCGGGTGTTAGTTTGACGAGAGCGATGTCAAGCCCAGGTCGGGTATCGACGACCTCGCCGATAAGATCTCCTCCATTCACAATGGGTGGTATACTTCCTCTGATGAGAGAAAACCATGATTGGTGACTGTCAGCATTTCTTCGCCCGCGAGATTGCGAATTTTGATACCACACGTGGTTGCAGCGTTTGTGGATTCGGTTGAAGTACCTGATAGCCCAAAACCACTCTCGATTCTACATCCTGGTGTAAGAACCAACCGCCTAAGGTAGTTTGAGTCATCTTGTGGTGCAGCACCAGCAGCCGATACCAGAGATGGGACAATAAAGGGAGGGCGGGTAAGGCTTCTCATGGTGCTAGAAAACGGTTGATCTCCGTGGTGGTAGAGTGCTGTTCGGCCTGCCACGACCCGGGAAGGGATCGCTTTTCGTAGTTCCGGCCATCTCCAAACTCAAGTTCGAAGATAGTCCAAGCCGGGAGAAACATAGCAGCTCTCACACGAGCAAGTGGCGCGATGGCAGTAAGCACAGCAACTGCCTGACGCTTAGTCGGATTGGTTAATTGGGGCCACCGGACAGTGGGACAGGGATCGGGAACACGAGGATTCGAATATCCAGATAAGGGGATTGGCTCCCTAAACATCTCACCGGGACGCACGAATATGACAGGCATCGTTCCAAGGGTCAGTGGTATAGGCTGGGGTGGAGAGGCCGTCTCCATACAAATAAGCCACGCGGAGATGTGCACTGTTCCTTCCCCGAACTTATTACGGATCCAGGTCCAGTCCTGACCTGAGGGGTGGCGGAACTTGTGGTTTTGCTCGTCCCAAAGCGTGAACGGCGCCATGTCATTCAAGTGACGTGCACCCCAGCCGCCGGGATTTTCCCAGCGTTTCTGTTCTGGGTGGGAATGGGGGAGCAGATCCCGAAGCGGACTAACAGGCGCATTATCATATATGTTGGTGTAGGGTGAGCTTTGCTGAATACACTGAACATGTGGGGATAGGCGGATCGGAGATGCCATCGGAGTTGCCATTACATATGCTGACTGCTGATGGTACAAGCTATGGGATGGGGTAAGATTATGTACTATTCCATTACCGGACTGAACGAGGGACTTGGTCACATGACCAAACCACCTGACATAGGCAGGAGCATAATTACTTGACCATAGCAGAGTAGGTTGCGAAAATTTGGCCTCTCATCCCACCTCACGTAAAAATATTCGTCCCCCGCGATCTCTTATATACGCGCGGCAATACCTCGTTTCTGCGCATTTTTTGTTTACTAGTCGCGCTGAAAAGCAAACAGTCTCATATTTCACTGAAGAGTGGTACTACTTTATGTACGGCGGTATTCGGAACTTTAATGTCCGATCCATTTGGCCCGCGATTATATTAGAAATATTATACTGGAGCTCACCTATATACCTATCCCTTATTCACCCAATGGATTTTGCGAGGCAAAAGCTGGGTTGTGGTGATGAGCCCGATACCTTATACGATAGGCGTGAATGCCAGGGTGAATGCCAGGTATCAGTTTTGTATATCTCTAGGCAGGTTTTGTCTCATAGTAAATTAGTTATATAGTACATTGGCATTTGATAAAGTCGTGTGTAGACATATGCTAAATAGAATGTATCTTATAATAAGTGGCAATTGAATAGATTTGAATCGGCATGATGCCGATGCTCATTGATGCTGGTATAACGCGTGCGCTGAAGGAAACTAAATACAGGTGAGGGAAAACGATGGGGGATAATAAGAGACATTTGTGAGACGGAAGAAAGAACAGATAAGGCGACAATATGGCGAAAAACTTGGGGTATGTAGTAGAAGAAAGATTCTTGATCCTCCTCAATCCCAGGTTATGCTCCCCCGAAGTGTATGATTAGAAGACATGAATTGAGATCGTGAGAAAGGGATGATATACGTTAATAAAGAGGAACTTGCGATGGGTGATAGTTCATCGCAGTAATGGGTTGAACATAAGGCTGGAAAGAAAGAGGTGGGTTTATATCAGACTAAACAGTCCGAAGAGAAGGTAAAAGAGAAAAATCCTTTTGAGATGGAGCTCTGAAAGGTCTTAGAGATTGGGTAATTCGGGTTTGGCGGATGATCCACCAAGGAGGTGCTGATTGAGTGCTCATGAAACAACCTTCCCACATAGTCAACTGCATGTTTCATACCAGAGATCTTCCCACCCTGACAGGAAAGTGGAGGTTGCCAAGCTTTGCTGATCGACTGTCAGGATTTCATGGCGGGTTGCAACCGAAACAGATAAGCCATCTCTCCAGGTGAATCGTGCACGGAGCACCGCCAAGGCTTTTCATGGACGAACAAAGCCATCCAGGGCTGATATTCAATTGTATCAAGTCTTGCTCAGCGTGCTAGAGCGTTTGTCGGCGCCCCCAGCCGCTTTACCGGTCGGAGTCCCAGTATTCGTCGCAGATTGAGACGCATCTGCGCCTTCCGTCGAAACTGCAGCGAGGGAACTATCATCAGTGGTTTTGTTTCCAGACTGAGCGCTCACAGCAAATGAAGCCTGCTCCACCTGGGTAGGAGTAGATATTTGTTCAGACTCGGTGGAGTCTAGACTAACGTCTGCGGCCCCGGTGACGTCGGGGTTTGGTTCCCCATTCAGCGACGTCAAGCCTCCTTCGATGTCTCGCAAAAGACGCACAAATTCCTCCGGGACAAGGCCATTCTCCCCTGTCTTGGGATCTTCTGCAACCAGCCAGCCCTGGCCATGCCGGTACGAAACATAAATCACCTGGCCCTCGGTAAGAGGAAGTTCGTTTTCATGCTCTCGTGTGAAGTCAAAGAGTGCGACGGCTTTTCCATGCATCTCTTCATCCGGGCAGCCAACGGCAAACTGATAATCTCTAGAGTACCGATTATCACCGGGGTTTTCATCTTCGGACTCAAACCCAGGGTCATGTTCATAGCCCTGCTGGCCGGCCGGGGCGCTATATCCCATGGTTGAATAGCGGCCTTCATTTGCCGGATATGTCACATACTCACCACCTGGTCCATCATCTGACGTATCTCCATCATTTACATAATAAGTCTCACTGCCATCGGGGTTAATGCCAACGAGCATTCCGCGATCACTGTTCACCGCCTGGCCAGTTCCAGACATGACTCTCTCATCTACAAGACCATTTATGTCAGAAGTCTTCTTGCGATGACGCGACGTCACAACTGGGCTATGCAGGTCTTCATCCTCGCTGTATGGTGGTCCATCCCCAAAGGACATGGCTGGCAACTGTTGGTGGACATAGGTAATCTGAGGTTCTATGCCCGATTGGCCTGTTGACCATCCGCGCGATATATCCCAAGAAGGTGATGGATCGGAGAGGCGTCGGTGTTCACTTGCCGGTGTGGAGACCCCGGAGGCGCGAGGAGGAGGAGGCCCGTAATGCAGGGGATGGGTCGACGGGTAGGCGAAGTCTCGCACAAGAGCATATGGAAGACTTGTATGGAAAATGGGGAAGACATGGGAGCCTGGGCGCGAACGATTTTGTGATGCAAATGAGACATTGGAATACGTGGAGAGCCGATCCTTCGGATGCGTCGATGACCGTTTCACCGTCCCATCGGTGAGGATGGGTGGCAGGACTGAGAGGTTGTTTGTGGAAATAATGTTCTGCGATGATGTGGGAGAAGACATCATGGTTGACATGGAGAAAGACCCAGGATTGAGTTCGGGATGATGAATAACGGGGCGGATCTTAGAGAAGGAAATGTGGGGTTGTTCATCGGTCGCGTAGTTGGCGCTCTAGTTTCGCATTGCGATTGATATGGTCCAGGTTATTGAATTTGCAGTCGCAGTCGCAGACAGCTGGTTTTCCTTTGGTTCAAACAAGGGAGGTATATCTTGTGATCGGAGATAGAGGAGATATTCGGCTCGAGGACGATGTAGTAAGCGCCCAAGTCGTAAGGGGTCAAACCCGATTTTAGGTTCGCGTAATTCAAACCAGGGGCAACCCTTGGATGTCAAGCTTTTGAAGCAAAAAAAAAGGATATTATCCCCAAGGGGCTCCGGTGTGGTGGACGGTGAATGGGTGGGTAATCGGCAAACGACACGAGGGAGGGGGGCAAATGTGGTCCGAGTGGAACGCCGAACCGCGACGGGGAAGATCTCACGATGAGAAGACGATATCAACAAGAGAAAGCCGGCGATTTTGCAAGATTTGCGTAGTAGAATATCCGTTCAAGGGCTCAAGGTGGGATTGGCAAAATCGAGACTGTTGTTCCAGCGGTTTGTCCCGCAATCTTGAGGGTAGGGAATTGCTAAATATAGTAGCAGAAAACTGCAGAAAGGACCAATGTCAGATACGAATGTAACGGAGGCACAGCGCTTATGCAGGAAAGAATGTGCAAACCACACGGTAACAAGTGTTTTGGTCAAGGCCACATGGGAAATGGGAAATGGGAAATGGGAAATTAGAGGGAGAAATAGACTCGCGAGTGAACGCTCGGAGATTGCCATACCTGTCTAAGTTGTAGGTTGAACTGGAGTAATGATCAGCGCGTAGTTGATTTTGGGATCGGGGGACTGTTGGTTGTTGGGACAATATGATTTATCCGATGGACTGCAGCAAAGGAAGCAGCGTGAATCAGCCAATATGCAAGGCAGCCGCTTGAGAGTCACAGAGTTGGGCGTGTGTGAATGGGTGAAGCTTGAACCCGTCGAGCAGTCACGTGCCGCCCAGCCTTAGCGCGTTTCAAGTCTGGTTTCGTCTATTCCCGTTTGGGACTAAAGGCTATATATAAGATTGTTCTACTTCGATGCCTCCATGTTCTGTTATGAATGCAGGGTATCTGAGACATAGATTCGGTTTACAACGGGATAATTAGTTTACAAACAAAGGGATTGTCATTTCATTCGGATATTCAGTCGCTTTGTTCTATCTTGGATGTTTGGTCTTTCAACTTCATTTTATGTGGGTTGACTCCCAGCCATAAATACAGTGCTTGGGCTGATCTCCCAATCTGTCACTGTGACTGTTTTAGGCTGAACCCCTGTCGCATCCAAAGATGTGCCAAAGGTGGTCGGCTGAGAGGATAGCTGAGAGGACGGAACGCCGAGTGCATCGAACTGCGAAGGAATCGCAGCATTGTTGAGATCTTGGTCAGTCTCATAGTCACTCTTGACTGCCTGCTTGCTGATTGTGGTCACCAGATCCACGTCCATACAAGTTGTGTAGATCTCGGCCTTTCCATTGGGATACGTGGGATCAACACCTGCAGCGGTGGGCCAATTCCACACCCAATAGAGTGTGTATGGTTTCCCACTGGGAGCATTGGAGGGCAGTCGAATATCCTGCTGACACCAGAGGTCTGCTCCCATCAGTGGGTCTGCTGTATGAGTATACGTCGCTTGTCGAGTCTCTGAGATTTGCCCCGAATTGACCTGGTAGCAACGGCCATCGTCGTAGTTCTGCACCGACAGAAGCACTCCCCGTCCATCACCTCCTGTTCCATCTTTGGTCCAGGCTCCATAAACATCAAGGAACTTCTCGCCTGTCTTGGGCTGTGTGGTGCCATATACATAAACGGATCCCCGGCTCGCAGGCTTTCCGGGCTGGTTCTGAGGAAGTGTCACATGGCCGTTTTCTTGGTAGCGAAGGGCAATTGCCGCGCCAGCGCTGGCTTCAAGCCGAGGGCTTCCCTCTGACTGAGTCTGATCCTGCTGAGTGTCCTTGCACATCTTGTCGGTTGGCAGAATCTGAGTTACATTTGCCCTTGTGTTGGGTGGGATCAAGTAGGTCATTGCAGTGTCGCTAAAGCCCGATGTCGTGCGCAGGTAGTTTCCTCGGGGATATCCTGGAGTACCGACGAAGGTTCCATTCGGAGCAATGAGAGTGAGCTCTTCCACCCAAGAATGAGCGTGTGTTGGGGTATACAGAGCAAAGAGCACTATCAAAACAATGATCAACATCGTGATAGTAGTTTTGGATATGTAGGATTCGAGGTTAAAGTTTGTAAGAATGAAGTTTTGTGGACTTGAAGGGGACGAGATAACGGCGACCGGCGGCGTCAAATCGAGTAGGTATTGCAGTATCTCTTTCTTTGGGTATAAAGATTTGGAAGAAGCTGGGAGTGTGCAAGCGGGAAGTGCCGTATTTATTGAGTCTAGAAGAACGATGAAGCGGCCAGGTCGAAGGCTACAACAATGGGCTTTGTCGAGATGAATAGGATCATTGGAATGATAGACCTGTGACTATGAGTGTGAATAGACAATGGCTCTATTCTTAATTTTACACCAAACACCCCCAGGCCGCAGCGAAAATAAGGATAAGAATAGTATAAAAAGGTTTCAAGGGAAGCTGTTACACATAAAGAAACCCTTGTCCGACTTCGAGTCTTTGAGTCTAATTGGAGAGGCTCTATACCCTGTGCCAACCCGTCATTGTTACAATCAAGGCTGTTAATAGACAATACAAACCCAATGCCCCCAGGGCCTCTAGACAAAGCAGGGGATGATTGGGTGAGAGAGAAGATATTTAGAGTCGCAGAATATTTCGAGACATGTTCGGTTCCGCTCCTGGCGCGTAGCCGTGATATATGCAAGACTCTAGGTGCTCGATCTTCCAAGCTTGCAAGTGTGTTACAGGTCTGCAGGTCCGTTGGCCCAGCAAGCACGGCCATTGGCTGATTCGGGCCACCCTGGGCGCTTCGCCGTCAGAGTCGAAATTAACGAAGACCCTCTTTAGCGCTTTGGCTCTTTCTGGATATTATTCTGTTTGCTTTTTGCCATTTCATATGACCACTTGCTATGATACCTCTGGCTCTGAACGACTTGTAGATTTATCAAAGTATCACAAAATATATCAGACATTCACCAACATCTCATTAATTAAAAGGGGGCACGGTGTGCCAACAGTATCTTACTTTTTTGGAGCCTATCTTTTTGAGAAGTCTCAGCTTGTTGAAAAAAGGCTGCTATGTCGATGATTTTGCGGAGCGAAGCGAAGCAATTAAAAAAAATAACCCTCTCCCCTTCCCAGGGGGGGTCGAATGGCCCCCGGAGGGAACGCCTCGAAAGGAGATCATGTGACCAGGCGCTCTCTCTACTGGGTCGAAAAAAATAGAAATCCAGTCGGTGAAAAAGTAATCGCTGAGAAACGGCAGAATAGATCCAGCCGGCAGAAAAAAAAAACAATCTATCTAATCAGAGTATACACTAATCCTAATGCAGTTAGACAATACTATTATATGATATCTACTCTGTAGTTATAGTAAAGAATATACAGTATATAGCTAGGCCTTCGTATCTTTCTCTCAGCTATAAGACCCTACCTACCTATTTATTTTATTTACACTGTTTACATTGTTTATTTACATATGGTGATATGAAAAAAGAGCAGTTAGTCGTTTCGTTCTGCACAACTATCTCGCGGCCGCAGGCCGGCGAGATCCCTTGTAGACCTTAGTAAATATATTACTAACCCTTAGTATTTATACCCTTTTTTTAAACTTAATAAAGAGATTCCTATTATTAATAATATATTAACTAGTTACTAAATTAACTAGCTAATATTCTCTTAGAATTAATTATAAATTAGTACTTAGGAAGGTAGTATCTTAGACTACTATTAAGTACTTACTTCTAAGAATAGTAAAGTATACTTATATCTATATTATACTCTCTTCTCTAATTAGCTTATTAAAAAGCCTTTTAATAGATTCCTATCCTTTCTTATTAAGATTATTAATCTTTACTTATATATTCTTTTAAACTTCTATATTAGGTTTCTAACTAGCTAGGTATACTACCTTTACTAGGTAGGGATATATAGAGCAGTAGTAATTCTTATTATATATATAAGAAAGGAATCGCTTCTTCTTACCTTTTATAGTTATTATAGTTATTATTATAGTTATAGCTACTAGCTTTCTAGCTTCTTTCTAACTACTAAGTATTATAAAAGTAGCCTATAGTACCTTTATCTTTATTACTTTCTTCTAATTAAAAAGTAATTATTCTAACTAGTATATATTTACTATATTAGTAAATACTTACTATCTTATTATTTAAAGACTTTTTAGTACTAATAGTAGTAGAACTAAGGCTTAAGAGGTTTAAGTACTATTAGAAAGTTATAGATTATATTATACTTATTAGTTATAAAGCTTACTTTTATAATTAAGTATTTAGTATAGAGATTCTCTAATTTTATTAACTAGCTATTAACTACTATATCTTTAATTAGTATTATTACTATTACTATCTACTATTATCTAATAATCTAGACCTACTGTTAGGACCCTAGTATTAAGAAGGCTGATACCTAAGGTATTATACCTATTAGGGTATATAGGGGACTATAGACTAGGTAGGGGCTATATATACTACCTATATAGCCCCCTTCTTATTATATAACCTATAACCTATATATTATCCTTATATACTACTTCTTAGGAAAAGCAGCTATTAGTTTTCTAATATACTACTATATATACTACTATCTCTATTTCCTAATCCTCTATTATATATAGTATTCCCTTAGGTATTCTATACCTAGGGGTCTTATAGTTCTAATAGCTCTTAAATACTTAGATTACCTAATAGAGACTATCCCTTATTTATACTAGTTTATATTATATTAAACCTTTATAATATATAGTTATAGGGACTCCCTATAATACTATAGCCTAATAAAT